TTTTTTGTAAAAATTTGATAAATCCTAGTTGGAAGTAAATAGTGGTGAGGAATTGGCAGACATGTTGGAAGATCCTCCAACCATAAAAGAAACAGCTGCAATAACTCCTGCAACTCCATCAACGCCTTATGCTCCTCCTCAATCTATACCCGAGAAAAAGTCAAAGCAGAAGAAATCTTGTATTTTGAGTTAACCGAGCCTATGCTTTTTGTTTGCTATTTTTAAATGTTTCTCGAACGTTATAAAATATTTCAGATATTTTACTCATCTAATATCTTCCTTCGTAAATTCTGAACTTGTGATAATATGATATTAACCGATTGAATGTGTTATGTAATGTAAGATGATGTAATTGGTTTCGGTAATGACTTCGATATTAGCTCAGTATAGTTATACAGTTATTCCGAAGTAATTTAAATGAGAAAATATTTAATGTGCATCTTTACAAAGATAAATCTTTTATTAATTAGCGATATATTTATTGATATTTAATAATAATTGGTCAAAGTGATACATATATCTATGTAGCAATTCAGAGTAGACCAAACGATGTATTTTTCTAAATTTTAAAGAGCAAAATTTTCATGTTAAGATCTTAACAAATATCTTTTTGATAACTATGGAAAACTCACAATGCATAGAATTTTCATAAGATGCAGTTCTTGTTGATCCAATACTATAATGTAATGGATAATTGTTCATTCATACAGAAAATACTGTGAGAAAGAGGGAAAAAAGAGAAAAATCATGAGGTGAGATTTAATTACTTGACATTGAAAGTGAAGCCTTCTATTAGATTTTGCACTTTTTTAATTACGTTCTAATGTCTGATAAAAAATTCTGATAAAGATAATTTTTTCTCTATATAGTTCCTTTAATTTACTTGTTTTATAGTATATATAATTCTCATATTATTTTTAATGTTTATTATGTCAGATATGAAAAATAAGTCCAGTGAGTTGACTGCGTGAATTAGTTCCTAGTCCAATGAAAAGTGATATATACATATATATATTGTATTGTTAAGTACTCATTTTTCGTATATTAATAATTTTATTAAGCGAAACTCGAAGGCTTGACTTTCAAATTCATTTGAACACTCATATAGGAATTAGTGATAAATAGTTGTAGAGTGTTTCAAAAAAATATCTGTGGTAAAACCTGAATACCTTATGTGATTATTAGAGAGTTAGGGAAAATTCCATGTGCTCTAGTTAGCTGATGCCACTCACCTAACTTCTCTGTGAAATATAAATAAAAAGATATAGCATATGAGTGATAAACGTGCGAATTGCCACATTAACTTGTGGATATATTTTCTTTGCACACGATTATCATTTTCGGACACAAGCTAGTGATGATACTAGTTACTTTATATACATATTAAATTATATATGTATATACATGTATATATGTATGTGTATATACATATGTATTATATATATCATGTTCTATACTATTGTAAATGATACAAAACATTAGATTCCACAAATATATATTATATAAAGACTGATCTTGGTATGTCCCATTAGTTGTACAATCGGAAAAAATTGTTTTGCAGCATTTAAATTAATATAGGTAGAAATATTTTAACACTCACATACACATATGCACTTATCCATAAACACATCCGCACACACATTCTACATACTACGCAGTTATTTTCTTAATTTTTTATTATTTTAATTTTCATTAAAAAATGCAAAGTGTGATAAGATACATTTCAAACAAGAAAATATATACATATATTAGATTCTTATTTTCATATTTAATAATTTAAGTCAATTAGAGAATAATTGTGATAAGTTACTATTATTTTTTTAAAAAATATTTTTAGATTTCCTATAAAAAACATTCCTAATACGAAATGTATAGCAAATGGGACTATAATCTAATAGCCAGCAAACAAGATATTCGAGAGGCATTCTATTTTTTGTGATGTGTATTTTTTTAACTCTCGTAGCTTTTTATAAACTTTTTAAAAATTTTCGTCCAAAACACAAATGAATAACTTGTTGAAAGAGTTTGGCCTAATTTAAAAAAGATTATGACAAAAGAGTGTGCCAAATTCTTGGAATCTGTTTGAATACATTAAAAAATTGTTGTTACTTCTGTTTGATTATGAATACATTTTATTATGTATTTGTATTGATATGAAAGTTAGATTCAAAGCATCTGATGTTTTACAAATGTTTAAAATTTTCTCAATATATTATACTTATTATTTATAAGCCTTCTTTTAAAATATCTTCACCTTAAATTTTTTTATTAATATTTTCCCATCCTTACGTGTTGAAGAACAAATAGAATTTGGCACACGTATCTATTTTGAAGAAAAAAGAAAAGAAAGTTTTTTGTAAAGTGCTCAAAAAATTGTTAATGAATAATGTGTTCCATATTTAGACATAACGCACACTACAGCCTGGGAGTATTCCAATTTATAATATATTGTACCAGGCCTATTCTGTAAGTTTTTAGTATAATTTCGTTTCCAACTTGTTAGTACATAATTGTAGATTCATTATGATCAAGCAAATTGTGTATCTTGCCAATACTAAACACGCTATGAGTAATAAAGCAGTATGCAATTTAATCTTACAGTTTATTGTGTTTTAATTTGTCGATATAGTAACGTAAAATACTTCTCTATTATGATTTATTTACACAGAATTTAATAGGTTTCTAGGAAGCACACGTGAATCAATCATTGGATGGGTATGTAATTATGATTAAGATTTTACAATACGTTCAAAACATTCAGCTTACAGAATAGGCCTATCAAGTTAGATTTTTCTTTTTTTTTTTTCTTACAGTTTCTTTTTCATAAAATGAATAATGTTTTCAGCTTTTAATGCAATGTAATAATTCTCCTTTAAAATATGTTGATTGTATAGCTTGAAATAGATGATGGAAGAGAACTAACTGAAGGATTTTTACAAGAGGAATTACATCCAAAAATCAGTTTGCATCAACCAAAATTTGCGAAACCTAAAGGTCCACCAGGCAGAGGGGCAAAACGTTTAACCAAGGTTCAAGATTTAGGAACCTCAGAACAAGAAATTTAAAGAAATATTTTTCAAATTTGTTGAATTAAGCTCTGAAAATATATAGTATGCTCATCACTCGCCTAAACATATTGTGTTAAAAGATGAATGTGTTTCGTTTTATCTTACTTTCTTTTTTATTAAAGAGTACTGTTTCATAATTTAAGAACTACTTATATACACATAGTTTGAATCTTAGAAGGAAATAAGATTTTCTTTATTTTCAAATATCAGGCCTATTCTGTAACTATGATTTGAAATCTATTTACATTATATTCGTTTAATATAATTTAACATAGACACATAGCATAGAATATCATCAGCATGTAAATAAGGATTGTTCTTAATGACAACTAATTGTATTTTTATCAATTCTAGTTGAATATTATACATAAATTACGAGATGAATTACATACGACATGTGATTATAAAGCTTGCTTTTTCTCTTTCATGACTTTTGTTAATATATAATTAAGATGATACGAATATATATTTTATTTTTTTTTTGTATTTATTAAATATAAATATCACTACATAATATTTTATGTAATTGGATAATATTTACAGAAGAAAAAGTAATAGAAGATAAAAAGTATTGATTCTTCATTAAATTTTTATTTCCTAAATTCTTACTCTTCATTTGTCAACCATTTCCCTCATTTTGTAGTTCTTTTCATGCATTATTTGTATTTGCGATTTTTCTTCGTTGCTCATCTTCTTTACATTCTCTTTTATTAGACTAAAATACGTAAAATTTTTTCATTGTATTGTTTAATATTGAAAGTTTTACATTGAAGTAAAATGTAAAGTTTAACATTGAAAGTTTATTCTAAAGTTCATAAGACTTACTCTCGTCTCTTATTCATTAAATTGGCTGCTGCTTTGTAAGTGTCACCTATCTCAACTCCGGTTACAAATAAAATAAACTGTGTGACACAGCCGTAAATAGTGCCCAATATTGTACCTATTACAGTGCCTGAAATTGATCCTTTTATACCCATATTCATTTTGAATAAGAAACCTGTTACAGCACCACTAATCATAGGATTTAGTATGTCGAATGTATAATTTCTATACACATATAAGAATGTAGATATGCTCCTGATGAAGAATTATTACATTATATTAATTTATACTTGTAACATTAACTGTATAATATAATATTATATAGCCTTACGAGAAAAAGAAGCAGAAAAGTCCAACTCTTATGCCAAATGGGAAACCTCCCTTAAATGTAGCAAGTTCAACTTTTCTTTGTAAATCTCTCTGCATGACAAATTTGTTCTCATAAAGTGTAACTTGATTCTCATCTCTGTGTTTCTGCGGCACATCTTTCAACTTGTACATTCCACCTAAAGCAAATCCTGTCATAAAGCCTATAAATGTTGCACTGCCAACTGATTGTACCTCTTTAGTTGGATAGCCCTTCCTGTTCAAAATAAATGACAGTAATAAAAGTTCATTTAATGAATAAAGGCATATTAAATTAAATGATGATTCTTACTCGTCATAAAAATATTTTTCATATTTGTTCCAAAAGTTTTCCACTTTGGACAGATTATGATTGGTGAAAGAAATAAAAGAATTCCAAACATTCGCTATTTTGAATTTATCATTGGAATCGTCACCGGCTGAGGAAGTGAATGGGAAAATCGTTGCGCAGATCCATCTTCTGTTTCTCAGTAGACGTAACATGTTCCCTTTCTATTAGAATCGCTTGTAGGTTAAGTATCATTCAATATGCAACAACACACGTCGACAAACAAAACACTATAAAATTACAATTTTATATTACATTTGCTCTTAAATTTAAATTAATATCGTTATACATTTTATATTTAAATTTTAGGTTACTGTATTGTACATGTTATTTCGTAACAAGAATTCAAATATCGATTGTAGAGATATCGAAAGTTGCACGAGTGTATAAAATGAAGATGTTCGTGTATCGAAATTGTTTCTAAGAATCGAAATATCAGTGTTGTATTCGAACAAGTAGGAGGTGGATCGCGTTCGTTTCGTTAGTGAAATTTTCCGGTATATTGTGTAGTATTTAACGTTTGTTCATGTACGTCTCGTTTCACACGGAAGTTTTTTGAAAACTGTGAAAAATCTCATACTTTCAATCGTCATACTCGTGAATATACACTTTGTTTCATTTTGGTAAGTACCGTGCACACTCGAGATATAAAAAGAATAACTTTTATTTATTTTTGCGAAAAATAATGAAATATTAAAAAGAAATAAGAAACCATTGTTATTAATTGTTATTATTTGTGTTTTGTATTCATTGATTAATTTTCATGGCGGTATCGTAACATTTGATTTATTTATAACGAAGATGTATTTATTTTGTTTGTTTTTTCTTTCCTCAATTAAGGATATAAACGATAACATTTATTTAGTATTTATTTCATATACGCATGCATTTTCAATAATCATAAACAGGTTTGAACATGTTCTGCGCATGGCATCTTTCGCTTGCTGCGCAGCTTCGTCTAACGGACAAAACAAGCGCGCCATATTTGATTAGCACGAAACGTTATTCAAAACTGTATATTGTTGTATTCAAAATAACGAATATTTCGAATATAGTTCTTGCAAATCGATTATATTATGGAATATTCATAGATGTTTGTCAATATTGGGAAATATTTTACAACGCACAATGATATTTCAAACATGTTACATAATTAAATATTGTATTTTCTTGATGTGACATTTGTTTACGACGAGTGAATAATTTTTTTTAAAAACAATATTATTTCATTTGTTTTTGGGAAAGCAATTATTAAACATAACTTCGTAATTCTGTGGAATTTCTACAGAAATTGAAATTTAACGTTTTCTAAACTGGTAAGTGGCGCCATGCTGACTTCAATTTTGCTTCGTTAATATAGCGCATAACTTGTAAAATAATGATCTTGACGCTTTAAACACTTTTGGATTCTATTCTCTTAAATTTTACTCTCTAGGAATGATTACATGTTATGAAAAGAAGTCAGAAATTCCGTGAGTATCAAAACGAAACTCGTCTGAGAATTTAGTTAATACTAATCTCCTGAACGACACTGTTTCAGGTGGCTGAAAGGAAAGGAACGAAGAATCATATACGCGCCGGCGTACGATGCTGCTTTGACGTAATAATATTACGTCAGAACATGGTCTGTGGTACGCAAGAGGGATAGTACGCGTGGGTGTGCTCTGGAAAGGACGAAGGGGGAGCAGAGGGAGAGCTGTAGAGGGGTTGGAACGTCAATAGGAGAATCCTTCAGGTGCATAGTGGGAGAAACGTAGAGATGGGCGCTAGGGGTGGAATCAGGGCCGTACTTTTAGACGTACCCCTGGGTAATTCACCAACCAGTCTTCATTTTTATACACGACTTACCCAGTAATTTTTATGTAAGTATAACACGCGTAATGTAGTTTTTCTAATATAAGTATAATGTACGCAAAAGTAATTCAAATCTTTTTGCACAACATTATTATAAAATATTTTGCAAAATCAGATTATTGTATTATTGAGTGATTGACTTGGAATAATTTTCATATATCACACCCAATAGGATAGAATAGTTTTAAATGAATCATTTACAAGAGGCAACTTGATTTCTTTTCAATCAAAGTAGAAACATGGTAAATTAACTCTCCGAGTCAATCAAAAATTATTTTCTCTTATTTGATATTCCAAATAGATGAATAGGATACATTGGCTTTAATTTTCTAGATACGGTGATAGATTAACTGTCCAGATTAACTGATACTCTTACCAGCTTGTTCTCAAGTAGTTGCCTTTACGAAGATTCTTCCGGACAAGAGATTCAAGATTCCCAATTCGATTTCTCAAAGCTCCTGTTTTCTTCACGGCACTGTTGGGATCGTTGCGTTAGGGGTGAAAGCTGGCACAGGACGGACCGGTTACGTTTCGCCTCCGCATAGTTTTCGAAGTACTCGACTTGGAAGCCTCCGGGGACCGAATAATTCAATGCATTTACTATAATTATCACGCTGAAATGTATCGATCGGACGACGCCTCGTTCCTTTTCCTCTTCTGTCCTCCAAACGTTTATGGCTCTTAACGGAACTCTCTATGAAAGTCTAGAGAGTCTAAGTGAAGCATATCGAAAATTATAGTCAACCAATTCCAATAGTAATTCTTTGTGCAATCTACTTGAAAAAACATTTTTTTCCTTATGTTATTTTAATTCTAACCACCTTATTAACTCTACAGTTTCATTTTAAATTTTGTAGACTAATTAGAACAGCTTTAATTTCCAATGTACTCGTTTTATTATTTCAATGTAATTAGGTATCAAAGAGTACGTCTCTGGGTGAAACCTTTTTTCTTTTTTTTTTTGTTTTTGGATAAAGAATTTTGCGTTTCTTCACTCATCTAAATTTGGTTTCCAAAGCCAAACAGTGTTGGCAACTGAAAGATTTCAATTAATTTTTTTAGCTGCACGCTACAAAAGTCCACATTTTTGTTTCTCCAATTTGATTATATCTGGGATAATATCAAATTTCGTCTGGGCCATAGTGTACCTTTCTGCAGAGTCCCTGTGGCAAGATCACTTAGCTTCACTCGCTGATCTTATGGGTTCGCTGATGAAAACAAGTCCTGTTCATTCAACTAGGGCCAGAAAGGCAGACACGGTCTAGATAAACGTATCTAGATAGCACGTTTGCGTGTACTATTGAGCCGGGGGTGTTTTCGAAGCCACAATGCGGTAGGGGTGACTTGCTTGATGGGGATAAGCTGCCCCTTTTTTGAGGACGGCGCAGACACGTACTTTTGTTTTAGGTTCCTTGTCCATCGTCGCATTGTTTTTGTAAATTTCTTTTAATTTTGTTAATTGCAAATTTCCCGAGGACGCTCACGTTTGAAGGCTGGAAATTTAAAGGGTTTCAAGACTAAAAATTTGGACGTCGTTTAATCTAAATTTGAACAATTTCAACTCTAGAAATCTCTAGAAGTTTTGCCATTCCGGAGATTGAAAATTTTCAACTTTAGAAACGTGCCAAATTTGACGATAATATAATTCTAATTCCATTCCAAATAACTACAGAAATTGGAAATTTTCTAAAGTTGAAAATCGTTTGTTCTCCTGTAACATTAACAAGCTCAAGATAGTGGCTGACAGCTTTGGAAATTTGATCAATCAAATTTTCCACCACAGACAGTAGCGAATTCTTGGAAACAATCGCTCTCCATTTGAATATTTCAGTGAAATATGAAAGGAATTTGTGGTCAATCGATAGTCCTCGGGAGAGTGAGGAGTTTTGGGCCAGGATGAAATTCATGGCTTAAGAAAGGATCGGCTGCGAAACGTTGACAACAATCAACAACCAACAACGTTAGTCTGAGATGCAAATTTCGTCGTTTCATTGTTTGGTTATGCAAATGTCCGATCGTTCATTGGCTCCTATGTATTTAACGAAAGGAAAAATTCCTCTGGGATAATCGTTCCCAGCAACTGGTGGATCTCATGGCTGGAATTATCCCTCTTTGAAAAGGGGTCTTCTGTCCAGGGACGATTTTGCAAATTAATTAATTAATACTGAAACGGTATCGTGTTGCATGCAAGGTATTAACCATCTTGCTTGCAAAGTAACAGCTACGTACAATAATAGACAATTATGCTACGTACAATAATAGACAATTTCACGTGTAGTTACGCATGATTAAAAAATCCACCTGGCTTGAATGAAAGGATAGGAAAATAGTAACAGAAGGTCAGTTATATCGATCCTCTCAGGTTGAGACAGTGCTCTCTAATCTTTTCAGATTGCGTTTCATTTGTGGAAGAGATTTGTAGAATATTTTTGGGTACAGGGTGCTCCCAGAGATAGTACAGTACCGCGTTTCATTGGTTCGAGAGGGGGAGGAATATGGTGGAGCATCAGTGGTGTAGCATTTGGTAGGAGTGTTTCAGGGGGTGCTAGTGATGGGATCAACCTGACGCGCTCTATGATTTTTTTTCATTTCATTCTTAAACGTAATTGTGCTTTTATGTCAGTAAATTCATCGCAGTAATATTAATATATTACTATTATCACAATGCTATGCATATTATATAATATTATAATACTATAATATAGAATATATAACCAGAAATATAATATTAGCGTATTAGTATATTAGTATATAATATTAGTATAGTATATTAGTATATTAGTATATTAGTATATTAGTATATAATATTATAACCAGAAAATTTTATTAAACTCACATCATCATAGACACCACCGCTGTCTCATCAACATGGTAATAATTTCATTTACAATGATGTACTAACTGTGCAAACCTTTTCCAGGTCGTTTAGCAGTCGTGTCAACAAATACAGCGACTAATGTAACTTCAAACCATCGCCACCACTATGGCTACCACCACCCCGTTGTTGAAGGTGTATCGTGAGGGGGTTGTACGCTGGTGGGGGATGAACGATAGTGGGATCGGTCGTATAGGGGCGGAATAGAGGGTTGACCAAGGCGGACAGAGACAGAGGCAAGCTGAGAGAGAACGTAGCCCCACGGAGCACCGCCACCCGTGTGTGTCGCACTAAAATGTGACTCTGGCCAGCAGCACCGGGAGCCGTGTGTGAGCGCGAGCGCGAGAGAGCGAGAGAGAGAGAGTCGTGTGTGCCGGAATTTTCGTTAGTTTAGAAAACGGTCAGCTGCGTGTTTTCTCTTGCCTGAAAAGCCGATCAGTGAGCCAATTAACCGTTCACCGGCAAGCAGCAACAAACCAATCGACGCGAGAACAAAAAAGAAAAAACAAAAAGGGACAGATAGACGAGAACAGAAGAGAAGGCAGATCAACCAAGGAAGGGAGGAAATCCGTCTAGGCGACGGTCGCCGACGAACCACACATATCATAAAATATCATTTTCTCGTAGCTGCGGATCATCTCGCTGATCTGAATTAGCTAGAATAAGACGAAGTTTGACTGAATGGTGAAGAAGAAGAAGGGCCAGCGTACCTAGTGCACGGGACAGGAGAAGATAGACGGACCATGTCGTGCGAGTCTGATCAAGTCTAACTCGAGTAAATACTGTATATATATATATATATACACATATATATATATATACACACACACACACACACATATCGACACACACACATACACAAACATAGATGTACAAACGCAGAAACGGAAAGAGTGTAAGCTGGTTTCTTCCTCGTTATACCATCGTTATCCTCGTTTGCTCGCGTTCCCCTGCTACGTGGTGAACACAGCTGGCGTATTACACCGCCAGGATCATTCAGCGAGCTCCGATGACCGTTCTGGATTAGTGTGTGACCACTTTGCACCGCTCCACCGTGAACAGTGACTCGTGCCGTGGACGCAGAGGAGGGTGATCGCGACGACGGGGTAAACGAGGTGAGGTAAGTACCCTAAAGTTCTATTATTTCTTTTTATTTATTTTTTTCCTCTTTTGGAGAAAATACAAGTTCTCTGTATCACCACAAAACCCAAATCTTTATGTGAGATTTGTTTCGTGAAAATATAAATTGTTGGTTCAGGATGATTGAAAGAATTGACGTTGACAATTCTGAATTTTAGTTTTTATTTACTTGTGTTACGAAATTCTTATTTCCCAAATTTCTTGCCACAAAAATCCCCCCTACCCGGAATGCAATTAATTCTCTTCTTGGAAGAGCCGATAAATTGCAAACAGTTAACAAGTGTGTCTCAACAGAGGTGATATTTTCAGAAAAGAAACAGTTCCGTTGCGTGCACTGTGATTGCCTTTGCGGTGTCTAATTTTAGGCCGGTAGTAAACAGTGGAAATGGAGATAGCTACTTCTCTAGTTTATGGTCCTCCCTTCATTGACGTTGACGTTTCTCTACATAGTCTCGAAGACATAGCACGAAGATATACATCATTCTGGAACAAAGTAAGCCCGGTAATTTGCGACAGGCGGCGTTGCATGATTCATAATATAGAGAGAAAGGGAATAATCGAAGAGAAGTCTCGCTTCGAAGTCGATTTCGTCGGTCGATAAGGGATAACGCCTTCGGTGCTTTATATCAATGGAGGAAATCAATGCTCTACCAGTAAAAGACAGCAAATTCTCTCAAGAACAGATCCAGTTTTTCTCTCCTAGGAGCCGCGAACACCGTTTGGATTAATTTAATAAAAGTGTGCAAGAGACAATCTTGAAGAGAAGTGTCACTCCTTGCACTTGACTTTGAAAACCTGTGGAATCATTTCTGTTTTTCTTCTTTTTTTTTTTACCAGTGAATTGTTGTGTGCAATGTTTGTACAATGAGTACAATTCCCTTTAATCAGCTCTCGACATTGTTCTCTGCTTTCCATTCGAAGAAGATCTCTCAAGATAGGACACTAATTAGCGTCATAATTATTTCAGTTGCTCCATCAATTCTGCCTCTGAGGCTAATCCGCTCAATGTAATGCACGGCGCTCCTCTACCGCTGAAGCATCTCTCAGCGAATATCCTCTTTGATCTGTCCGACGTCAACCGCTTCCCGTTTCCAATGATGCCACCTGGCAGTGACATTAAACGGGTCTGTCTAGGCTATCGTATTTCCGTGACCGATCGACCAAACAGTTAAGCCGCTCGTCGTAAACACGAAGAGAACTTGTCTCAAGTCGCGGGAGATCCGATAAAAATGTCCCTCCGCACGCGACAGTAGCCACCCCTTTGCACGTTTCATTCACTTTAATCACGATCAACTAGGTTCCAATAGAAATTCCTTCCTTTTTCCGCATACTCGACGATTTTCTTGGCCCTTCTTTGGACTTTGAATTATTCCTGCACACCTTTTGACCGCAGATCCATCACTTTCTTTTTTATCAGTTTCAAATGGATCAGGGGTGAATATTTGAGATTGAAGAGCGATGGTTCCCAGGAGTTTTCAAGAAATTATTTCCCACTGTTATCCCTGGTCTTATATCTTCCAAAGACACATCATGTTTCATAGATTTTAAATAGGTTCGGGCTTGGGAATTGTTCCCAGGAGTTTTCAACGTCTCATATCCAATTTGTCAGAGGTAGAATGCCTTCAAAGAAGAAGTTGCAATCTTTGCAAGTGTGTTTGGTCTAAATTGTCCAAGGAATCCAAGTTCACGTTGGATGATCTAAGCTGAGTTGGAGGATTTAAGAGAAAATTCAAGCCTAGATGGCCGGTGAGATCAAGAAAACATTTAAAACAACTGTTAAAACCACTCGAATCTCGAGTTCAGCTCGAGAGAACTAATAAAATCCAAGAGCTGAAATCTAAGCAGAGAGTATAAGAACATTCAGCCGAACGACAGCACAGAAGTTTTATTTCCCTCTGTCGTTCCCCCTTGCGTCGTCTGTCATTCTTTAAAAGTCAAAACGGCGGAGGAGAGCCTTGTTAAGACCTGGAACATGAAAACGAGAGCAAACGAGGGGGGAGGGAGCTGGATTATTGAGTTGAAGCGATAAAACGTTGCTGGAGAAGTTTTCCTAGAAATACCTGTTAATGCCATCTCGTTAAAAAAGTGAAGGAAGCAAGGAAAAAGTTGGACCGGAACGAGCGAAATAAAGGAAACTTAAAAATGAAACGGAAGGCGGGAGAAACATTTTTTTCATCAAACGAGAAACTTTGTTATTTGATTGCTTGATCGCATCTGCGTCTACTACCTACCGATTTTGTTTTTTTTTTCCAACCACGTACATACATACATACATTTCTCTCCGACCACGATGAAATGGAAGAGCAGACTCGAAAGAGAGAGAGAGAGAGAGAGAGAGAGAAGAGAGGAGAGCAGCAAGTGCGTCGGTAAAGCGAGGTAAATAGGTGGATGGCATATTGGCCGCTAGCGAGAACAACAAATTGAAGTTATAAGCCGGGAAGTGGAACGATAATGCGATGATTAAATTGGTCCCTGGTCGTTTTCAAACGTCAAACGTATTTTCCAGTGCGAGAGACAACGGTTGTTATTGGCTGGCCATTTAAGTGTTGTGAGTAGGTGCCAGTTTTTCCGCGCCACTGTTTCAATCGCTCATTCGATTATTGCCAGATTTAGACACATTTTAGTGGCACACTTGTCGATAAATCTTTTTTTTTTTTTTTTATGAATATACGTGCAAAACGTATACAAAACGTATTGTAATTTCATTAATATTGCAATGAGACCAGACTATTATATAATTTAAGAACACACGCGGTAATTTGTTGAACTTGAATGTATAATGGGAGTCATTTTTAAGAGGTTTATTATCCATACGTTCAGGGTGGCTGATCATTGCGTTAATGAGCCACAGTATTAATTGTATATTTAGAAACTAGTGCTCCACGCTGCATACTGCATAATACTTCCACCGCACATTTAAGATGAATATCTTACCATTTCTGTATGTAGTTATATGTGATTAAAGTGATAATGAAAAGTTTCAATGAAAGAGACAAAATGAAGAAGGTTTATATAAAAGAGGCAAAGTAGAAAAGTTAATGACATGAATTTTAAATATGAAAAAGAATATAAAATATACTTTTACGATATACAATATATAATACAAAATTACACATAAAGCTATGAATGTACAAAATATAAAAAGCAGCGTAGATGTTTTCTGTTCAAATATTTCAATCAAAATATAATTTTATATTTTAAAATATATTTTAATTGGTATATAAAATATATATAATAAGTGTAATAAGTATATTTTATAAGTGTTATAATTATATTGAATATACATTGAATAGTATAAAACTATAAATAAGTATAAATATTATATTGAATAGTATAAAAAGTATAAATAAGCATAAATAAGTATAAAAAGTATAAACAACCTTACCAAATAAGTATACTTCATAAGTATAATTTATATTGAAACTTATATTTTAATTGAAATATAATTATAAAATTATGATACAACTTTGAAACACAAAAAGCAGCATAGATGCTTTCTGTTCAAATGTCTCAGCCACTGTATAGTGCTCCCAAGGAAATCGCATAGCCTAGACAAATTTTATTCGTTAATGATCTGAAGAAGCAGAAAGATTTGTAAGGAAACGTGCAAGACTGATTCGGGGGAATGATATATTGTGAAATGTGTTGAGATAGCTTCGGTGCCGCTTTGTAAATTGATCTTTAGTGGCTGCGCTAAGCTCTGCCCTCCCTTTATTTTTGCCCGACAGTGTATGTGGCACGCGATTGTTCCGGTTTGCACGTCGACCCATTGATATTCATGCCTCGACGCCGGAACGTTTCGCTATTTTTCCGTCGTGTTTTTTTTTTTTTCCTTTTTCTCTACCCTGTGCCTTCGAACGATGCCCCTAATTACACGAGGAAATTTACTATCATTTCGTTAGGATTTTCAAAGGCAGGCGATTCCTTCTGATTTCTTTACGATAATTTTTCTCTTTTTTTTCTATTATTCTACCGCAAGGTGATTAGATTGGAAACAGTTGGAGCCGTACCAGTCGATTCAGGGTCATTTCCACTTGAATTTATATTTCGCGTTAATAAATTCGATTTGACAGAATCACGTATCCTACTCTGGCCTCGTTTACGAAGTTGCCATGAATTTCGGAGGAAACTGTTCAACACTGATTTCGCTCAACTGGCCTAATGGCTCTCGCTGCTATTCTGTCAGTCTCTTAATTTCCAACTACTGACCTTCGATTCGTCATCGCCCTGTCATTGAGAATTAATCCGTAATTTTTTTTACTTCTAGATCAGAAGACCATCTGATAATCTTTGACGATACAATTGATAGTTATTTCATTTAACTTTCCCATTTGTCATACTCTTTTTAACTTCTGCCACGAACAATCGTCATTGGTAGTACTTAGATTTATCAGTCAGAAGAGCTCGCGTGTTAGAAATTTATTTAAAGGCCTCCTTTCTTCGCAACGCCCACTTTTGGAAATACTTCATCCAATAAAACGAACATCTCGAATATTTCTTCTCCGATTCCCGATTGAAATCTACATCTCGCTTGGTCAACGGTTGTTGGGGATACGTTTCTTCGTTTGCAATTAATCTAATTTCGTTCTTCAATTAATCTCTATCGTACCGACGAGTTGAAAGGGAAAAGAAAGCGACGAATCATTGTACACGGCCCGGCCGCTCGTTATGGTCCGCGAACCAGTTGCCAACGCCAAGCGGTTAACAGCTCAGTTTCCAAATGTAAATGATTGCCTGTAAAACAGCTTGTGCAATAATAATAACGATCGATAACATTTATTCGAAGCGTCACGCTTGATAGAAACGTGTAACTGAAACTGGTTGGACACGTACGTACGAATCCAGGAATGTTTAACACAGGAATGCGGCGAGTGTGCGGCCAGACGCATGAATTCGTACTTGACCCGCTTGGGAGGAGCCGGTTCTTTTTTTTTTCTTCTTTCTCCGAAGAACGAAAATCAAGAAATCTTGTTAACCCCGCCA